CTCACATGGACAAACAGACCTATCTCACATGGACAAACAGACATGTCTCACATGGTGGACAAACTGAGACATGCCTCACAAAATGAGACACGTCCCACATGGTGGAAAAACTGATACATATCTCACATGGTGGATAAACAAAGACATGTCTCACATGGTGGATAAACAAAGACTTGTCTCACATGGACAAACAGACATGTCTCACATGGTGGACAAACAGAGACATGTCTCACATGGTGGACAAACTGAGACATGTTTCACATGGTGGACAAACTGAGACATGTCTCACATGGTGGACAAACTGAGACATGTCTCACATGGTGGACAAACAGACATGTCTCACATGGTGACAAACAGAGACATGTCTCACATGGTGGACAAATAGAGACATGTCTCAGAAGGTGGACAGACTGAGACATGTCTCAGATGGTGGACAGACTGAAACATGTCTCACATGGTGGACAAACTGAGACATGTCTCACATGTTGGACAAACTGAGACATGTCTCACATGGACAAACAGACATGTCTCACATGGGGGACAGACAGACATGTCTCACATGGTGGACAGACTGAGACATGTCTCACATGTTGATGAAATGGAGACATGTCTCACATGGACAAACTGACACATGTCTCACATGGTGGACAGACTGAGACATGTCTCACATGGTGGACAAATTGAGACATGTCTCACATGGTAGACAAATTGAGACATGTCTCACATGGTGGACAAAAAAACTCAGACATGTCTCAGATGGTGGACAGACTGAGACATGTCTCACATGATGAACAAACTGAGACATGTCTCGCATGGTGGACAAACAGAGACATGTCTCAGAAGGTGGACAGACTGAAACATGTCTCACATGGTGGACAAACAGAGACATGTCTCACAAACTGAGACATGTCTCACATGGTGGACAAACTGAGACATGTCTCACATGGACAAACTGAGACATGTCTCACATGGTGGACAAACAGACATGTCTCACATGGTGGACAAACTGAGACATGTCTCACATGGACAAACTGAGACATGTCTCACATGGTGGACAAACTGAGACATGTCTCACATAGTGGACAAACTGAGACATGTCTCACAAAATGAGACATGTCCCACATGGTGGATAAACAAAGACATGTCTCACATGGTGGACGGACTGAGACATGTCTCACATGTTGGACAAACTGAGACATGTCTCACATGGTGGACAAACTGAGACATGTCTCACATGGTGGACAAACTGAGACATGTCTCAGAAGATGGACAGACTGAGACATGTCTCAGATGGTGGATAAACAAAGACATGTCTCACATGGTGGACAAACAGACATGTCACATGTTGGATGGACTGAGACATGTCTCACATGTTGGACAAACTGAGACATGTCTCACATAGTGGACAAACTGAGACA